CTCCGATTGGATATTGACTCCAAAGTTCAAGAGATTTTTAACAGAATGGATGTCGTAAGTGATGATTATTATAGAAATATACGATCATATATTAGAAACAATATAAGGATTATCATAAAGGCATATAGAATAAGTTACAGCACAGTAGCTAATTAATGGATGAGTTAACTTTAGAAATTGTTATACAAATAAAGTATAATTTATTAGCACAGTATAATAATACAAGAAATGGCAAATATAATATAAAAATTCTCTTTCAAAATCTATTTACTAATTAAATTATAGTCCTTTAAATGATTTACACAAACACTTTCTCCGCTAAACTCGCGTAAACAATATACAGTAGTATTTGTCAGCCAAACAAAACACTTTAGACATTAATTACAAAATAAAAATTAACTAAAATAGATCTCATTAAATACCGTCGAGTGGTTTCTGACAAACAGTGTTTGAGTGGAAGTGCTCTCAAAATGATGACATAAATTATTGAGCAAATGGTAAACAAAGCTCTTAATTAAAATGAAATTCAATTTGTGTGACCAGAATAAGGACGGAGTGCTCAGCAAAGAGGAATTCATACGTGGCTTCAAAACGGATCCCCAAATATTAAGTGCTTTAGTGGCCGAACAGTGCTCTACGACCGCCACTACCGACCAAACCGTTAGGAATAATAATAATGAAAGACATTCTTTGGCCTCGAAATGAAAAACTATTATCAATTCCTGTCGATTGACAACAATACTAACAATTACTGTGAAAATTCTGTTCACAAATACACCAATTCTTATGAACTATTAAATGAAAATTTTTTATTTTAAAATGTTTTTATGTTTTATGTCTCATTTAATATCACAATTATATTTAAGTTATTTATAAATTACTTATCAAAACTATATTTAACAATAAATTATTATAAAAACTATAAATAAATTTCCAAAAAATATTTAATAAACAAAACACTAAATTGTAATCAAATTTATTACTCAACACTTAAACCATTATTAAGATTATCGCACAAAGACTTAACCATTGAATAAAATTTGTTGATTTTCTCAAAGTTTTGTCTCATCTTTTGATTCGCGACTTCTGTGATGTATTTCATGTAGTCTTCGGTCACAATCAGCTCTTTATCGCAAATGATGGGCACTTCCAGTGAGTGACAGCTCCTGACGGCGACTATAATGCGATCGCTTTTACTGATAGTGAGTCCAGAGTTACGGAAACCACAACCGATGGCCACTTCCAGCAGTCGTTTGGCTGCAGACAAGCCATCGGCGCAGACATGCAATACAAACGGTTCCACTTTGAAGGACGCATACAGTGGCCGATCGTCACCACTCCTGATGGCCGACATCACCTCATCTGAATCCACCACATCGTGCGATATGAACAGCCATTTGCTGACAGACTTCTTCAGATGACAGCCGCTATTATCTGCCATAACAGTGATTCTTCCGGAGCACGAACTCGTGGTGTAATAAGCGCCACAAGAGTTCAACGCAGATATCAAGTCCACAATTGGCTCATCAATGGATCCCTTAAGACTGAGATCTTGTTTGGCGTTCAGTCGTCGCGTCTTCTCGGTCTGGAAGTGATTCTTCTGCACTCTTTTGCCAGACATTGCACTCAACGAGCATTTGATGGCATCTATCACTGAAAGAAGCGATGAATTAGTGGCAAAACTTTTTCGTCAAATCAAATGAAAACACAATTTGTGTTGAATTTCTACGAAAGACGAGAAAAGCCTTCAATTCATGCATTCATTGAGTCTTTCAGTCATTTGTTTACGACTTCGCTATTGGTTTGCGTTTTGTTGAAAGTTTTTAAACATTCATTAGTTTTAATCATTTTATTAATTCATTTCACATTTAATTCAAACCTAATTGTCAGCACATTGTCCACCAAACGGATCCCAATGTCTGTCACACTTCACACCGATTTGGGAGACATTAAGTTAGAGTTATTCTGCGAGAAGTGTCCGAAGAGTTGCGAAGTCTGTCCACTATTTCCACCATTCATTTGATTGTCTATTAATTACGATGTCTTTGACTACCGGTGCAGAACTTCCTGGCCTTATGTGCGTCCGACTACTACAAGGGATGTCTCATTCACCGCAATATCAAAGGCTTTATGGTTCAGACGGGAGACCCCACGGGCACCGGGAAGGGCGGCGCCTCCATATGGGGCGACAAGTTTGACGACGAGATCCACTCAGACCTCAGACATACCGACAGAGGCCTCGTCTCGATGGCCAACAACGGGCCCAACACTAATGGATCCCAATTCTTCATCACATACTCCAAGCAAACACATCTGGACCTCAAGTACACTATCTTCGGAAAGTATGACCACAACCTCCACATGTCATCGATTACTGGTTTACCATTTTCTTGATATTTGACAGAGTCATCGATGGTATGGACACATTGGATGAGTTGGAGAAACTGGCGGTCAATCCGAAGAACTTTAGGCCACTTAATGACACCCGTCTTAATGATGTGACCATTCACGCCAACCCTATCGCCAAATAGGTGTCACTTTCCCGACAACATAGCCATCAATCAATGAATCATATATTTTCTTAATTTATTATACGATTTGTGACAAAAATAAACACATATTTAAAACATTGGATTAGATTTGACAGTAAATTGAATACAAAGCGATAGAAAAGTCGACGAAAATATGAATGAAATGACAAATTGTACACTTGAGTTACTTTCAGAAATAATTAGCTAATGATTNTATGCCCTTCGCTGTCATTAATCATATTCTCATCGCTCGAGTATTTAATATTATCTGAGATCACAATAAGTCTGCACTTATTCTCAAGAGGATTGTTGACATACCCGGGCGGACAGGAATAATTTTGTTGTGCGATATGTCCGCCATTTATAAAGTCTGTATCAAAAGAGACATAACTATCGAAATGTTTGGCCAATTGGTGCTGGAAGTGAGTCTTGGATTCTGTGGGGCATATCATCTGACTTTCCTCATAACCGCTACATTTGGCACAAAATTCATTCTTAAAAGCTGTCAAACGCTGAAGACTGGAGTCCTCGACAACTACAGGGGCGTAAAATCGGGCGCAGTTTTTGATCACTTCAATAGTCTTTTTAGGGTCGATCTGAACGCTAGTCTTATACCAACCGATATTACACGTCGAAGAGATCTGTATTTGTATCGGTTTTCTCTTCACCTTTTCCTCAACCAAAAAGTCTGGTGGAGAGGCATATGAGACGGCAGAGCACTTCTCCTGTCCATTGTTTGTCTGCAAACACCTTATCCTTTGAGTCCACGACTCCAGTTG